TCATATTTTTGTCACAAAAATTAGGCTCTCGTGACTTCTAGAGAATCATTAACGGTATTAACAATGAGGGCAAATCTGTTTTTTCACCTTTCTTGTATGGTTCAGACTTCACCTAAAGACAAAGCTGAATTGTTTGTGAAGAACTTTTCATCAATATCATCTTTTGACTCCACTAGTTGCGTTCTTACTGATATAACCATCAAACAGGTTGATCCATTGCTTGAGATTCGTATCACTCCAGCTTCTGTATCTAAAGTGATTTCCTGCTTAGACTCTTTAACAGCTTGTAGTTCGGACAACATTCCTGTTATGGTCTTACAGATTTTGTTTTCCGGAGCTGTCATCTATACTTTCAAAACTATTTAACAGGTGCTTTTTAGAGTCTTGTTTACCAGCCTGCTGTTATCCCTATTTTCAAAAATTTTGGAGAGCATTCTGATTCGTCTAACTACTGTCCCCCTAGTCTTCATCCTATCATAAGTAAGGTTTTTGAATCTTTAAATAAGAAACACCTAATCTCTCATCTTGAATCTAATAACTTACTTTCTGATCATCAATATGAATTTCGATCTTCTTGTTCTATAGCTGATTTGCTAACAGTAATAACCGATAAGTTTTATCATTCATTAGAAAAAGGTGGAGTGGTTAAGGTTATCTTGACATTTCTAAAGCTTTTGATAAAGTTTGGCATGCTGTTCTTCTTCATAAGCTTTCTTCTTACGGTGTATCTGATAATATCTTTAAGATTATTGAATCCTTTCCAATCAAAGTATAAAAGTTGTCCTTGATCAGCATTCTTCTTCATATCCTTTTACTTCAGGGGTTCCTCAAGGTTCAATCCTTTGGCCTATACTCTTTTTAATTTACAATAATGATCTTTCAGGTATTCTCACATCTAAGGTGGCATTGTTTGCTGATAATACTACCATTTATTCTTGTCATGATAAGTAACCAACACTCTCTGATTGCTTGGGGGCATTTGAGCTTGAAAAGGACCTCACTTCTGCTACAGAATGGGGCCCTCAACAGCTTGTGAACTTTAATTCAGGTAAAACTTAATTTTTTTCAGTCAATGGTTATCGCAATCTATTAAGCAATAAAAAATAAAAAAACAACTTATTTATTTCAAAAATAAGGTTATCATCAGTTTCTATAAAATTAACAGTTGGTTGAAAAACAGTTTTATCACTTCACCTACAAAACAGAACATTAACTAAAACATTAAAAAATTAAACTTTAGTATTTTTAAAAACAGATTGAAAAATTGCAAAATATGCATACAATTTATAAATAAAAATGTATTCAATAATTATAATATATATGATAATGGTAAAGGAGAGATTCAAAGATATTTCAGAGATTTATAAAAATTAAGAAATTCAAATACTTACCACGTGCACTTTTGGAAATCCTCGTGCATTATATGTTTAAGGCGTCCGAGTTGACTCTTCCAATACTATATGGAGTATAACACTACTTTTATGGTTTTCTAAGTTCTGTCTTGTTGCGCACTTGGTTTAGAATGTTTAACAAGGGGAATGGTAAAATAGCTGTAAAACTTTAAATTTCTTTATTATACCAATATTAAATAGTTTTAACTTTTATTTATTTTTAAAAATAATGACTTTTATAAAATAGTTTATTTTAATTATAAAATTAAAATTTTCAACTATATTTTTATTAAAAAAATACTTTTTGAACCCTCTTACCATTTTAAAAAAGGTTAAGGTTGCCGTGTTACATGTTCAAATCAACAGCTTGCTTGTTCTTTAATTTTTTTATTAAAAATGCAAAACAAAATAACTTTATAGTTCTATACAGGCTTGGACAGGAATGGCGTGCAATCGAGCGCTATTGCTGACCACGCTAATGATTTTATTTTTTGACAACTTGACCACGATTGTTTAATAAACAATGTTTTTATGTTTTGATGAGTTAAAAATTTCAGAAATGTTCTGAATGTAGAAACGCTAAGTCAAACTTAAACTAGGAAAAAAATTAAAAAAAAAACTAACAAAAAAAATTACAAACGAAAAAAGAAACGAAAAAAAAATTCATAATGAAAAAGAAATTATATAAGCACTAAAATGAAAATAAAAACTTAAACTCGAAGCAAAACTTTTTGTTACATATTTAATTACATACGAAATAAACGTTATTAAAGCTTATCTTTTTAAGCTTTTAAAGTTACACAAAACGTTTTTAAATGAAGTAATAAATTACTACTAATGATTGGTTTAGTAAAAGAAAAAATTTTATTAAATTTATTAAAAAGTGTTTTATATAATATTTTTAAATTGTATGAACATTTATTTTGTCAAAAGAGTTGCAAAAAAAAAGTTGTGTAAAAAATGTAGTCTTTTTAAATTAATAATTTTTACTAATTTCATGCTCTAATTAGCGAGTCTGATTAAAAAAAAAAGATTTTAAACTTTTTTATTCGTTAAAATAGAAAAAATAAAAATAAAAAATAAAATGTGCCTGCAACTTAAATAAAATAAACTGCCAACAAGCTTTTTAATTTAATTTTAATTTGAGCATTCAACTTTATTAATAAGCGCTTCGCGTAACGAATTTAAAAGTTATTATGAAAAATTAAATCTCATTCATTTCTAATGAAATTGAAAATAAAAATTAAGAAATTAAAAATTGTTTACAAAAAATAAAATGTTTGTTTAAAACATTTTAAAAAATCGTAAGTTTAATCATAAAAATTAATTGTATAAACAATACAAAATCCTTTAAAACTTTTTCATTAAATCAACAAAGTACATGCTTATATAAGTAAATAAAGTTATTTTATATTCTTGTGTAATTCACATAAAATGTGTAAAAGTTAGTAGTCACAAAAGCTTTTGAACTTATTCACAAATTAAAGTAACATAAAAAAATTCTTTCTAAAAATAATTGTTTAAAAATGGTTTAGGAAGACATAAGAAAATAGTTTCAAATGTTTAAATTTATCATAAAGAACAAACGCCTACATAAAAAAAACTTATTTATAATGTTTTTTATTAATTTACACAAGCATTTATGTAAACAATAACTATATTTAATTTTATGGTTTTATTTAAAGCCTTAGCGTAAAATAAAAAACTTTATAAAAGATCAACTATTAAAAGATATTTATAACATAACAATATTTTTATTGCATTCAAATTGTTAAAACATCAAAATAGCCGTGGTCAAGTTGTAAAGAAATAAAAATATTAGCGTTGTCAATTACAGTGTGTGATCGCACGCCATTCCTGTCCAAGCCTCTCTATAGATTTTATATTCTATATATGAACATGTTGTATACTCATTTTCTTAACACGAAGTCAACTTAGTTGTAAAAAAACTTGAAATGTAATACTAAAATAACATTCATACGCAACAAATTTCCTCTGTTTCTTGATCTTTATATATATTTAAATTTTTTTTTTTTTTAATTTTGCTAAAAATGACTGAAATTATTTTTGATAATCAATATATTCACATTTTTAACAATTTTCTTGTTTACTTTAGTTTAATAAAACCCGATGACATGTTATTTAAAAATAAAATTCATATATGACCCCTTTAAACCCCTATAAAGTGTTTCCCTTAAAATAATCCCAAAATATAGGTCTTACGTCTATCTATTAATATATTTAATTAAGTTCATATTTTAAAATAGTTTTATATTTAGTTGTTGATACCAAAACCAAATAAATATTTATTATAAAGAAATTCACCAACCAAGACACCCGATCACCCCCCCCCCCATCCTCCTTTTTTCTGATGATACCCAAACCCCAAACCCCATCCCCCCTGATCCTGATATTTTTCTGCTTAAAAAAATTAATGTTTAGAACTATACTTTTTTATTATAACAAAAAAGATTTATTAAAATATATTTTCATGACAAACAAGCAAATAAATTGTTACAAATTGAAAATATTTATGATAACTGGGACTAAACTGGGACTAAGTGCAAAGAAATTTAAAATTAAAGTCGTTTTTTTACAAATTTTAACAACTGCAAAAACAATATTTAAATGGTATTAGTAATAGAAATTAAAGCTTATTTTTAATATCAAAAATGATTCATCAATTGTGTTTGTATATGTAAGCCACATTTTCACATAAAATAACGTTGTAAATTTACAAAACTGTGATAATTTATGGATTCCATCATAATAAAAATTTTCTGGTTTGGCTGCCATCCATTCATCGAGCCATTTTTCAATGTATTGACAGTCTTGAAAGACTGTCAATAAATTGAAATGTATGCATGCTCTGCTAGACCATGAAAAAATTGATCAGAAAAGGTGATAATCCTACGGGGCGGAGTTGGGAGAATATGGCGGGTAATAGGTGCAGTAAGACTTCCCATTTGAACTCTTTTAGTGTGTCTTTTACTGCTTTTGCGACATGCGGCCTTGCGTTATCATGAAGCAATACAAGTTTGTTGTGTCCATCTGCCCAATCTAGTCTCTTTACTGCGATTTCGTGTTGCAACTGTGTTAATTGATATTGATACTGATTCACAGTGACCGTTTTGCCAGGTTAAAGAAGCTAATAGCACAGTACGCTGCGTTAATCCCACCATATGCTCAGTAAGACCTTCTTCCCGTGGAGGTTTGGTTTTGTGGTCAACGTTGTTGATATATATATATATATATATATATATATATATATATATATATATATATATATATATATATATATATATATATATATATATATATATATATATATAGTCTATTTATAGTGTATATATATATATATATATATATATATATATATATATATATATATATATATATATTATATATAATATATATATATTTATTATGTATAATATATATATATATATTTATATATATATATATATAAATATATATATATATATATATATATATATATATATATATATATATATATATATATATATATACACTTATATTTATATATATATATATATATATATATACACACACATTTATATATATATACAAAAGCTTATGTTTTTCTAGACCGTTTGGTTGTATTTGCAAGACCAGCAAAATTTAATAACATTATATCAGCTGAAAGATCATCACGGTTTGTTAAAGAAATAGTTGAAGTTTTTATTAAATGTTTGAAATTTTTTCCTTTAAAATTCTTGTAATGTAATTTGCACAATAGTCATAGTATTTAACTAGTCTGGAAACGTGGTCCGTTTTCTTAAAACACTTAAGTTCCTCTCTATACTAGTGCTCAGCCTACTTGAGAGTGCATCAAATTGTAAACATTGTATTTCGCTATAGATAAGTTACATATGTTCTGGAATAAATATTGAAATGGCATGAGCAATTTGTGATTTTTTTGGTTATTTAGTTTCAAGTTAATATTATAGATTGCATATATATTTCGTATTCCGAATATATATGATGAATATAGCATAAAATAAAGACATCAACTGTTGATAAATGTAGTTATGTGACAGAATTTGTAGTGGTATAAATATGTTTATTCAACTATATATCATAGAAGCATTTAAGTTATATACTATATGAAAATATGTTATAGATGCAAACATTTCATCGACTGTATAACTTGATAGATGTGTATGGGTATAAATGCTTTGTATTATGTTCAGAGTATATTTATTTAAAATGTTAGCTAATAGAGCTTAATAAACTCTATATTCTATATATAGTTTACTTAGCTGGATTAGTTGATAATTTATATATCACTCTTTACACTATGTTGGTATCTTTTCTGGAAACAAGAAAAAATAAGGTACAATTTTATCATTTTGAATGGTTTCAAAGCTAAATTAGATATTGTTGGTATCTTTAAAGATATGTGTTATACCCTTAACACAGCATATTTATCTACCTTAGAGAGAAAATTAGATCTTAATTATTACCTAAATTATATTAAAAATAATAGTTTGTTGTTTAATTTTCTACCTTACAAGGAAAAAAAATTTTATCTTTAAAGATATAATTTTTCACCTTGGAAGGTAGAAGATTTTACCTTACTATGTGCATATCACATATTCTACCTTACGGTAGAACTTTTACTTTTTTTACAAGTGTTATACTAACAATAAATGTTATGAAAAAGTAAAAAACTTAATCAATAAAAAAAAATTATGATTTTAATAAATACTTAAAAAATAGCTAGTATATCAAAGCTTCTTAAACTAAAATTCAAAAGCTCGTATATAAAATTTTGTTTTTATTACGCTGTATTGCAATTTATATAATAGCAAATAAAAAAAATATACTTAATGCAATAAAGATGATGCAAAAGTCTGCTACCAAATATTGCATCACTATCATACATAAATCAAATTTAATTTAATTATTTAGTACAGTGAATTAAAAGAAGATTACAGAATTATATATAAAAATCACAGTATATTAAATTAAGTTACAAAATTTTATTTCAAACCTTGATTTTAAGCTATAATTTAATATCTATTTTGTTTAATGCAGAAAAAAAATTTCTCAAAATCCAAGGTTATCTTCAACTAAAATAAGATATTTCATGTTAATTATCTACTTTCAAAGTCAGCTGCAGTGTATGATGATATACTTGACTTTTACAACTGGTGCCACTGCATGACAAATTTTTCTTTTGCTTTAGAAAGCAATCCAAATTTGCAAACTAAATTTCTTAAAAGTTGTTGCTTGTAACTTGCGATGTTTATGCAAATCACAAGTTGTTGAAAAGGCATTTTAAATGATTCGTTTATGCCTAACCCACCACATTAAAATAGGACAACTCATTACTGTCTTATTTAAATATGACTTATCCAACTTCAAACATATGGAAAAAAAAGATATATGTAAGTATGGTAAGTTTATACAGTGGAACCATATTGCTTATATATTCTATGAAGTCAGAGAATGTGGCCTTGTATTTTACCTAAACTTACTTTTGAGCATATAAAGTTTACAAAATATTTATTAAAAAGTGTTAACCTTGGTGCCTAAGTAATAAGTTTTTGCTGTATTAATAATTTTATTGCATTATGGAATAGCTTATATCAAAATTATTTCTGACACTAACAATCACTTAGTGCTTGCAGGGGTAACCTATCATTTAATGACTTTCAATAATAATAAAATAAAAAACATTTTTAGTAACTGAAAATGTAACGTATTTAGTTACGTGGGCATTATAAAGTGGTACTAATATAGTATTAAATCATACCAAAAAAAAAAAAAAAAAAAGATGTTATTAGATTTGTTCAAAACTAAATATTTTTTATATATGTTAAATAGTAGTGTTGTGATTATTATTTTAAAATTTAAAAGACAATTAAATTATTTTTATTATTCAATCTTTTATTGTTATCTTACTATAAAGTTACTACACCATAAAACTATTAAATTATATACCAATAATATTTTAAAAAAATATGTGGCTATGAAAATAGCCGTTTTAGTAGGTTCAAGTCATCTCACTTTATCTTTAATGTTCTTGTTCCAAAATAAAGGGTGTTTTTTAATTGATGTTCTTTATATATCAATTTAGTTTGACTTTTTTGAATTTTAAAAGCTTTCAGGTTATATTTTGCAATGTACAATCTACGGACTTGTATGTAAAATGTTAGATGATCATGCATACTTAGCTGCAAACAAATACGATAAACACTGCTCATTATACAACTTAAACATGTTAGAATTAAAACCAATTGTAAAATTAGAGTTACAAAAAACATTCCCAAGTTATAATAGAATGTTTTGTTTAGTAATGTAGAGGGATACATGCTTAAATGTTATAATATCATTGATAAAAGAGGTACCAGTCAGATAAACAAAGACAAGATTTGCTACTTCAATACATAAAAGAAATTGTTTTTTCAGAAAATGTTTTGCAGAATCGATTCTACAAAATATTTTCTGAAAAAAACAATTTCTTTCATGTTTTGAAAGCATTCATGTTTTAAATGCTACTTCATGTTCTTCCATGTTTTGACGTAGCATAAGTAGTGATTAATCAGCGGTAAAAAATTTCAGCATTTCAATCAAATGAATCAGTTACATTATTACTAGGAACTAAGCTGTAATGGCTTCTTCATGAAAGAATTGAAATATTTATACTTGATTTTAAACTTTGTCAGCTTGTAGCAAAGTTAAATGTCAACTTGTACCATTTATCTGAAGCAAGCTTTACTGCAATCTTGATTAAATAATTATAAAATCTAATAGGATGAAGAATAATATTTGCTTTCTTTTATTCTTTACTAAATGTTTATCAGTAATCTTGTCCTTGTGCTTAGCGTTGAGTCACCTTGTGATATACATCGTTTCTTGCAAAACAAACACATAAATATTATTTCCTCACTTTGGTTAGGATAAATTAAAATAGGTAGTCTAATGTTTGAACTAAAATTGAGATCTGCCTCCAACAAATAGCAACTCAATACCAGCTAACACAGCATCAAATTCATTCAAATTTTTAATGTCTACGCTACAAAAAGTCATTTTAAAACATTTGATGCACTCTCAGTCCGGTCACCCTTTTAAGCTCAAGTTATTTTACAAAATCTATAGAAAACGGCCCGTGTTTCCAGACTAGTTTAATACTATGACTATGTTTGCACCAAGGAAAATTTCAGTGTCAGTTTTGTGTTAATTGTCAACCAGATGTTGCAGATGTAAAGCACATTATTATCATCATCATTATTATCATCATCATCATAATCATCATCATCATCATCACATCATGCAAAACAAACACATAAATATTATTTCCTCACTTTAGTTAGGATAAATTAAAATAGGTAGTCTAATGTTTGAACTAAAATTGAGATCTGCCTCCAACAAATAGCAACTCAATACCAGCTAACACAGCATCAAATTCATTCAAATTTTTAATGTCTACGCTACAAAAAGTCATTTTAAAACATTTGATGCACTCTCAGTCCGGTCACCCTTTTAAGCTCAAGTTATTTTACAAAATCTATAGAAAACGGCCCGTGTTTCCAGACTAGTTTAATACTATGACTATGTTTGCACCAAGGAAAATTTCAGTGTCAGTTTTGTGTTAATTGTCAACCAGATGTTGCAGATGTAAAGCACATTATTATCATCATCATTATTATCATCATCATCATAATCATCATCATCATCATCATCATCATCATCATCATCATCATCATCATCATCATCATCATCATCATCATCATCATCATCATCATCATCATCATCACCACCACGATTAATTTTATTTTTGTGAGGAAATGATTGAGTTGTTATAAAAAAGGGGCTTTAACCTATAAATAGCTTTAAAATTCAAATCCCATATTTAACACATCTTTAAACCCTAATTTATTAATAAATATTTTAGCTTCTTCAAAAATCAAATCAACCAGAGTTCAAAAATGAGCTTTTGGTTTATTTCTCACCAAAATATAAATTTTATATTTATTAAATCTAATTAAAATTATAATGAAACAGCTGTTAGAAATTTGACCGTAAGTCACCCTAGAATTAAATAGTTTTATGCGTGCTTTGTAAAGATTGGTTTGGATTTATAAATTGAAATTTTTTATAAAAAGTACTTTAATTATTCAAATGTTCTAACATAAAAAAAATTCCCATCATACTTCTTTTATTAAAACTTCAATTTAATTTAATTAAACAATTTAATTTAACTTTAATTAAACAATTTAATTAAATTAATCAATTTAATTTTTAAAGACATTTAAGTAAATACATTTCCAAATAAAAAGTTCTGTAATTTTCTGTAATTTTGTAATAATGCAACTCTTATGTTTATATATTATTTTTTCGTTTTTGCTTTTTTTGATTGTTTTGGTTTTAATGTTGTTTCGTAAAATAATTCAGCATGGAACAATTTTTTTATAATAAATTTTGTTTTTTTATTTATAAAAAATTTCCTCCCTTTTTTTCAGATCGCTTTCTGCACTTTATGCTTATTATCAAAAAATATCTGATGATGGTCAATTTGATTCTTCAGTCTATGTATGTTATTGTTGGAAAAATTTTTCTTTTATTGTTCTTTTTGCTAACATATTATGAACTTGTTAAAAAAGTTAACTACAATTTTATACTTAATATAGTATTTTTTTTTAAGACAATTTAGGGAAATAATTAGAAATCAGTTCAAAATAAAATTAAACATTAGTCTTTACAACTTTACACCAGTTTTGTAGATATAAATATAGTTATATGTAAATCTTTAAAATTTTGTCCCAGTTTTGAAGATAACAATATTAAATATAAAACAAAATACAAAAAAGGAAAACTTTTGTGACAAGTGAAGAGTATTGTTTCAAAAATCAATATAAATTAAATAATTTAAAACTTTTTTAAACTTTTAATGAACAGAATTGAATCTACATAAGAGATATTTCTGGATTTTTGTAATTGAAGACCCTAAGACCAGTACTTACAGCAATAATTTTGCATAAATGTAGAAAAAGAAACATACTCAAAGCAAAACAGAGATAAATATACTAAAGAAAATAGGAACATATAAATTGTTTGCGCAAAGTTTTTAGAATATTTTTCTGTAATGTAGTTAAAAAATATTTTGAAATTATTATTAGTAGATAAATGTCTAAACTTAGACAGTCTTAGAAGACCATTTTTATTTAATGAGTTGAAAATGCTGTATTACTTGTATCAATAGAAGCAAATCAACAGATTAATTAACATTATTTACATCTTAGTTGCTACTATTACCAAACATTATATTAGCATTATTTGCTTTTCAGGTGACAATTTTTCTTGAATTTTCCTAAAATACCTAAATGTTAAAGATTTTATGTTTGATGCAACAATACTTATATATATAATATTTAATAATATTATATATTCAAGTTTTAATAATATTTCTATTTATTATGCAAGGTGAATTGAATAATTGATGGTTTGCGTTAATGTTTGATAATAAATCAGTCACAATACCTAAATATTCAGAACTATCAACATATTCTTTTATTGTATAATATTTTCATTTAAATGCTTTTATTTTATTTTTGAAGTACAACTTCATCAGAAGCATCCCCATCAGAAGCCCCATCCCACTGCTGCACTCAAAACCCATCAGAAGCCCCATCCCACTGCTGCACTCAAAAATGAACATCATCAGAAGCATCCCCATCCCACTGCTGCACTCAAAAATGAACATCATCAGAAGCATCCCCATAACTGCTGCACTCAAAAATGAACATCATCAGAAGCATCCCCATAACTGCTGCACTCAAAAATGAACATTATCAGAAGCATCCCCATCCCACTGCTGCACTCAAAAATGAACATGCTATAATTTGTTTGCAACAAATACTTCTTAATTAAAAAAAAAAATTAGACATTTAATATTTTACACAGATACAAATTTAAACAAAACTTTTGTAATTTAAGATGTCATTTTAAACTGAATGTTTGTACTAGATAAATATAAAACATTGCTAAAACTGTGAAAAAAAAATTTTAATATTACAAAATAATAATTATGGTTTAGTATTTTTTTTCATTGTAGCATGAAAATAATGTATATTATAATTATCATAAACGAATATGATTAATAAATTATCAAGTCAGTCCGCAAAAATTTTTCAAACAGAACTTTGATAATGATTAAATTTAAGACAAATTTTGTTGTTTTATTGATTTTATTGATTTTTTTTAATGTTTTTTTTTAACTTAACTGTAAACTTTTTTTAACTCAACTGTCAACTTTTTTTAACCCAACTGCTAACTTTTTTAATTCAACTGTCAACTTTTTTTAACCCAACTGCTAACTTTTTTTAATTCAACTGTCAACTTTTGTTAACCCAACGGCTAACTTTTTTTAATTCAACTGTCAACTTTTTTTAACTCAACTGTCAAATTTTTTTTAATTCAACTGTCAA